GGACTGCTTAGAATGAAGAATAGAGGCAGTCAGTTAGAAAGTTATCACAATAATCAAAACTAGAGAGAATATGTACACAAAAAACACAATCATCAAATGCTTCACTATGAAATTAAAATTTTCTCTTTCAATGCCTTGGGACAATGCTCTTTGAATTTGGAATAACTGCTTCTCAAATTTTCTAAAATCATTTCTAAATAGAAAAAGTGCTTTGTTACTATTCACATACCATAAAAATTTATTAGATTTACCTTAAGGTTAATTTATTGAAAAAATGAACCTAAATTAGTTTCCTTTTGAAAATCAGATGTGAAAAAATCCATTGTACTATAACCTATTTTTTTAATAGAAATAGTCTTCATCTTCTCTTTTTAGAAAAGAACATGAGTCCTTTATGACTAGGGGTGGGGGTGGGAACAATAATCAGCTAAGATTAAAACCCTATTGTAGTGAAAAGTTCAGAATCCTGACCTAACTAGTCTAAGAGAATGCCAGTAGGGCTCATCAGAAAAGGGTGACTTGGAATAAAAGCATAAAGAATTGAATCCCTAACCCTCTCCACTCCCCACCCCCATCCTGCTGCTCGAACACCCTCAGTTAAGGAGTGACCAGTTCTTTGATCTCTTCCCTTTAAAAACAACTAAATAGCGCTTGTTTTGACTCCATAATTAAATTTCTTCCTTGTAACGGGGATTTCATTTCTATATTGGTAACTGAGTTGGTTATTTATTAAGAAAACTGATCATGAAAAAGACAATTTCACATATCTTATATTTTATAATATTTTCCAAGATACCTAAATTTAAATAATTTCATGGATGTCCTGACTTCTTTCCATTAGTAAAATTTCTCTTTAGTAAGACAGGGTCTATGTACACAAGCAGAGTAAATTAGCTCCTGCCTCAGAGCAGCTGAGAAAAAGAATTGCCTAAGAAGATTAGAGTCATTTTCTTTACTTAAAGATATTCCTGACAACCCACACTGAAATTACACAAGATTAACTCCATTAACACCATTTCCCATTCTTTAAAGTAGTAGCTTTCCAGAAAGCAGCATTTAGACTGAATAGTTCAAAGCATATTTTAAAAGGAGATCTCAAAATGCTTAGAAATGCTAATATAAGTATCACTGAAGGATTCAGGATGAGGTGCTGAGAGGTCAAGTAACATATTACCAGCCATACAGTGAGCCATACGCAAAATGGAAAGATGCTGCTTGTTCTCTGAGCCATTTAGCCTGCATATCCTTTTTGCAGATAACAAACATTTCAAATCAAATGTTATCTGAAAGGATATAAAACTGTTAATCCCTCAAAGGCAGAGATATTATCTGATTCATTTTTTTCTTTCCCCATAGTATCTTCTAGAGTGCCTTTAATTGAGGAGTACTGAAATATTTGTTGATTATTATGTCAGACATCTGGTATTGCTTGGTGGCCTACCAAAAATAGGTAACGCAGAAGGGCTCAAGAAAAATAGACTAAAACAATACCATAAGACTTCAAGCTATCTCTAAGACAGAACCTCAAAACTGAAAGCAAAATCCATAGCACAGGCACTAAAACTTTAAACTATCTGTATTAACTGCCATTAGTGCCATTAAAGCATATAATACATAAATTTCCTTCTGACGATATGCTGGCATGAGCCACCAGAATATTCTGAAAATAATGCCATCATAATCCAATTCCCTTACCTTACCTTCTCTGAGCCTTAAGTATTCTCCAGGGTGTTTTTATTTTATTTTATTTATTTATTTTTTAAGATTTTATTTATTTATTTGAGACAGAGACAGAGAGAGTGAGAGAAAATGAGAACATGAGTGGGATGAGGGGCAGAGAGAGAGAAGTAGACTCTCCGAGGAGCAGGGAGTCCAATGCCGGGGTCGATTTTGCAATCCGGGATCATGACCTGAGCCAAAGGCAGATGCTTAACCGACTGAGCCACCCAGGTGCCCCTTCTTCAAGGTTTTTAAGTGCAAAATTAATAAACAAATATATTCTTACTTAAAAACCCAAACACTTCAGAGGTAAAGTGAGAAAAAAAAAAATGAGAAGTACTATTTTCCTCACTTCCATATCTTCCTCCAACCTTTTTTTCTATCCTTACATTAATGCAAGAAAAGTTCACTGTTAACCTGGGGCTTCATTTTCTTTTTGGTCTCCTAAAGGTAGTTCCCAGGTGGAAAATACTGAAAACACTGACCCAGATAGTTCTTAAAGATCTTAATTTGAATGAATTGCTCTTAGAAATAGTTATTTCCACTTACAAAAAAAAAAATAAATCTAAAAGTGTCCTGAATTATAATTACGCTAAGACAGAGTCAGATCAGATCTCAAGGGGAAGTCATTAACCAGTCCATTGTAAAACTTTCATCATATAGCACAGTAGCTGACACTGAGAATTTAGGTGCTGGACACTGTTGTTATTAGTGTTTCGTGAGATTTTCTAAAAAAGGAGCAACTCTCTCACCCTTCTTTTTCAATATTAATATTGTACCAGGTACCATCTAAAATAACCTCCTGTGACTTGCAATAATTTTGCCTAACAATGTGATACAAGTCCCAAAGTATTCTGGAAAATATTCCAAAATGATTTGGGAATTTCCTGAAGGATCTCCTTTACTTTTATTTTGGTCTCAGAATCTCAAAAGGGAACCTTGTTTCTCTCAAGACATGCTCCAATATGCCTATTAATCAGTGGCAAGTAATACTGAGTTAGTGGAAATGAAAGTCGTTAACAAAAAAACTTGTTTTCAGAAGGCAAATATTAGGTAGATGAAAACAGTACTGATCTACGAAGCATAATCAAGTTCAGCCACATACTATCTTGATTGACCCTGGATAGGTCAGTAAACCACCCAGATATTTTCCCATCTGCAAAATCAGGGAAAATATTACCTACCTATAGGTTGGGTATATGGATTAAAATGAGAGAAGCAGAAGTGCTGGCACAACAAACAATAAATGTTACTTGAATTGAAACTTGCATATGACTTTCAGTTTAGCCTAAGTCACAAACATCGAAGTGTTTTTAGCTTAGTAAAAAGACCTCAATTTGTTTTACCTTAGTAATCCTGAGGCTCAGTTTCAAAAACAACCTTGAAAATTAAAACTAATCCAAAGATTATCCTTCTGAAGGCCTGAAATGCCCAGGAAAACTGCAAAAACCTAGGTGATTGGTCATCATTCGGTCCAAAGTATATTCAAGGCCTTACACTGAAAAAAAATTAACATGTCAAATATTACTGGCATATAAAATAATTTTCCACATCAAGAGTATCTGAATACATCTTATGGTGACTTGAAATAAGGTTAGTGATTCTTTCCTTACCTATGGCCAAAGTATTAAATAAATAAATACGATATCTAAAATCATAGTGCCATCTACAGGCAAAGAAAATATCAATGACAGCACATTTTAATGCTTTCATATTTTCTAATTGCTACTCAACATTTAGGACATCTAGAATTGAATAATTTACATAATTCACTTTCTGATTACATTTGCAGGATATAATTTATTATATGAAATGGCATTTTTTCTAAATTTTTTAGTACTTAATATAGCATTTTATTTTCAATAAATATTAAGATGATAAAGGTAATTTTAAAAATCCAATGGTACTACAAAGTCCAATTTTTGTGTTCTGAGATTTATTATTAAAATATATAATGACAAAAAAGAAACTTATTTTCATGTTTTTCCTCTTCCTTCCAAACTTGCATCTGCGGATACTTATTTAACAATAACTAAGTAGCAGGTACTTTTCTAAGCTGCTGTACATCTGTGAACTTGGTAAATCCTCACAATAATCCTATGAGGTAGGTACATTACCATTCTTATCTCATAGATGTTGAAACCAAAGCACACAAAGCTTAAATAACTTGTCTAAGGCCACATGCTATGTGGCACAGCCAAGGTTCAAACTTGGGGAGTTTTTCCACAGTAACTATGCTTTTAATTACTATGCTAAAGCGCCTCTCTTTGTAAAAGCTGCATTCAGTGTGTATACTTCATTTGTAATATCTTTGCTCTGGGTTTGAAGGGCAACATTTTCTCACATATCTAAACTTTTATCATCATTTTTAATAACTACATATTTTGCCATCAAGTTGATATATCTCATTTTACTTTAGTTGTCTAATGCTGGACTTTCAGACAATTATAATTTCTTTCATTTTATATAAAAATGTTACAATGAGCAAATTTTGCATTGCATATAGCTCTTTTCCTTCTTTTGAATTTTATTTCCTTATGCTACTATACCCAAAATAGTTTCACTGACTTGAGTATATAAAAATGCCACATTACTGACATGTAATTCTCCATACCACTTTTTAAATTTCATCATCATGTTATACTACCAAAAATGAAAGAATGTTAGATCTTCCTGATCAATATATACCATCCCTCCCAAATTTAACTGATTTAAAGTGGTTAAGGATGATTTATGATGTGGGACAGTTAAATAAATATTTCAATTTTCAAATGGGCAAAATGTTTTCTTCCTCTAGCAACATAAAAGGTGGAGACAATCCTATTACTTGTTGCTTATGAGGTTGGTGCTGTCTTAATTCTTTAAGTAAGCCTCAAAAAGAATCAATAACATGCCCAAAGTCACTAGTAAGTGTCAGAGCTGGAGTCTGAGCCCAGGTCTGTCTGACTCTAAAATTTAAGTTTTAGATAATAGGAAAAAATATCGCAAAAAGTCAAGAGGGTCAATGTATGTTGAGATAAAGAAACTGTATGGAAAAATTTTCTTTCAATCTTCACTGAAGATAATTTATCTCATTAAAGGGTAAGCTACCCTGGGGTAGCTATCATAAATATAGAGACTGTATTTCCCTAATGTATTATTCTGATCAGTAATTTCAAAAACAGAAAAGAATGACAATAATTAACAAAATGCTTCATTTCTGTTTCTCTCCAACCATCTTACAATCTAGTTTCATCTACATTCTAAGCAAGGAACTAGAGGATATAAACATTACTCCAAACATGTTATCTTGCAGTATTATTTGTTTTGAATAGTCAAGAAAGATTATAAATTTTATAACACAGAATAAAGATCACTGAAACATTAGATGACAAAAAGAACATAGGCTTTGGGGTCTTGAATTCAGATGCTGCGCTTACTAGCTATATGTCCTCCAGAACATCAGCATCAAACTCCTACTTCACCAGGATGTTTAGTAATTACAGGAGATAGCAATTATAAGGCTCCTAGCACATGGCAGGTGCTCAAGAAATTTTAGCTCCCTTCCTTTTAAAGAGTGACATATATATGATTATATCAAGGGTAGTGGTTCTAAAAGTCATGCTTCATTATCTCCCTCAGACAGACTGTCGCATAACACGAAGCATCAAGATCGAAAGAGATCAAAAGAGATAAAGTTCCTTCATCAATGTGGGAACCTTCAGTTTTGACATCAATTTCATGTTCTTCCATTAGTTGGTATGAGACATTATGGGGATGTTTCAATATCTGTCTATAGCATCCTGGAACATTGAGTTTCAGAGTTGGTACTTTAAACCTGCATGTCTGTAGTCCATCTCTGCTAAGTATTTCCTGGTACCACTGCCCAATTTTGTTCTTTGGGTACTGAATATTGTATCCAAGCACTGGAAGAACCACCTGTGCAGAAGAAGGGGGATAAAATTACATGAAACAGCCTTCAGAAAAATATATGATCATTATATCACTAAGATTTGGTATATAAGAAAATCACTGAGATATGATCCTTATGTCTCAGGATATAAACATTACAATCAGCCTAAAACATGCTATTGAACACTACACTACTTTATTTTAAATGCTGCCAGGCAAAGAAAAGAACTAACTAAAATCAAGAAGGACTCACAATAACCAAGGTAACAAACTCAAGTCAGATATTATTAGACAAACTATTATTAATGTAGAGGAGAGGAAACAACAGGTTTGGGACATTTAATTAGCCAATAAAGACTTAATCTCAATGTAGTCATACAATCTTAAAAGCATATTGTTTCTATAACAAAGAATAACGCCTACTGCTCAATGATATAACTGGTATTTTGGTTGATAACTTTACATTCTTCTTATTTAAAAACATGAGCGTGAACCAGTAGCAGCAAATACAGTGTTTTGCTCAGCTGCTTATGAGAAGACACTACAGTTTGTACGGCTTTCCTTCTTTGCTAATGATTTCTAGTCATTTTTCTTAAACACTACCAAAAGGTAGTCAGAAAAAGGAACAAGGTAAAAAATTCAAATACATACAACATGAATGGATTTCAAAGTCATTATGCTAACTGAAAGAAGCCAGACATAAAAGACCACAAACTATATGGTTCCATTTATTTGACATTCTTTCAAAGGCAAAACAGGGCAGAAAATGGATGAGCCCCTCAGGAGCTGGTGCTGGGGGTGGGGGTTGAATAAAAAGGGGCACAGGGAAATTTTAGGGAGAGATGAAAATGTTCTTTATCTTGATTTTTGTGGTAGTCACAAGACTATGTTTATCAAAACTCTTAGAACTGTAAACTAAGAAGAGAGATATTTATTGCATATAAATTATACCTGAATTAAAAAGTGGTTAAGAGAAAAAGGTGAAGAGAATGATCAACATTTTGTCTTTAGGACACAATATCTACATTTAGATCTAAGTGATACCAATTTTTAAACAAATTTACCTGATGTATTGCATATGTGTTAGCTGATTCCTCTTCTTCAGTTACTAGATGAACCTACATTTTAAAAACATGACAAAACTATGCATGATTCATTTCCTCAATTTTCCCTGTTATGTATAATTTGACTCCCGTGGTGAATAGACATATACCCAAAAAAGATTATTTTCACAATTTGCTTCTAGACTACATAAAAATTTAAACGATACTTCCTGCTTTAACCACTAATAACTGAAATTGAAACACAAAGAGAATGGTGGTAGCTTAATACACCGAGGCTATACTTTCACCTCAACACCAGCAGCTTTTCCTAACTTACAAAATTGTTACGCTGAATCAAAAATCTGCCTCTGGGAACCGCCCCCCCCCTCCCCATCACCAACAAGTATCATAATACTCTCTGAGAAGTGGTGTTTCTCAAAACATGTTTCATAGAACAGTAACAGGAGACAGGGGGAAAAAGAGGTGTATGTTAAGTGTGAGAAATGTTGCTACAGGACACTAGAGAATAAATAAGTCTAATTTCTCCAGCACATGAAAGTTCAGGTATAAAGGCAGCTGTTATCATTAAACAAAGATGAACAGCATCCCCACCTTCCTAAGGCTTTCACCATATAATGTAGTGTCCAGATTCCTCTAACTCTGCTGGCTTTGCCCTAAAGGCTGCACAGTCTAATCAATAATTATTGCCCCTCTTTTTTTGTTTTTCATTTTGGGTTTGTATGTTTGTTTATAGGTAAGTACGCCTTTTAGTTGCTGGACTCAGAAATGGATATAAAACTCTAGATGTGATCTGACCAAAAGCCATGGGATGAGGATCTCTCCTGCATCATCATTTCTAGGTTTCTTTCACAAACTCTTAAGCTTACTTACAATGATGCAATTTAAATAATTTATGAAAATACTGAAAAACATGGTCAAGCACATTAGACCATGTTTTGTGGTTAGAGAGCTCCCTCCAGGTTGATAACAATTGATTTTTTTAATTAACAAACATGCTTTTGGCATATGGCTATTCCTCAACTATGAATTCACCTAACCTTTTAATTGTCTGCCACATTTCTCTATCTTGTTCACAAAGAAATTATAAGAAAATCTACCCCAAGTGACTTGAAATAAAGGTATATCTGTTAGTCTAGTAATCCTATCAAGAATCAGATTAGTTTCCTACAATTTTTAACTGTAGATGCACAACATTACATGCCCCATATACCATTTATTAGAAACTTTACTGTCTTTTTCATTTTCATATCTTAACATCTTGGGCCTGTAAGTCCTGCCTTTTCCACTCTTAGTGCTTACTAGTAAAGTATAAATGATTGGTCCTAAAACATATAAAGACTTTTTTTTCCTAATAGAAGAAAACTTAGCAGGATATGAAGGAGAAAATGTTCTTTCTCTTACAGCTTCAAAAGAAAAACAGATACAGTTCTGATCACAAAATTGTCCTTGCAAATGTTACTTTGAACAAAGAAGTCTTATAAGACATGTATTTCAGAGATTATTACCATGTCTTGTCAAAGTAACCTTTAACTTCTGAAAATCTGAATTAGGAATGGCTAACTTACTAAATAATGTACAGCCCAGGTAATATTTTAATGAACATATTTTCTGGAATGTGTGAAAAAAAACATGATTTTTCACTATTTATCAAAAGGGAATCACCAACATCTCTTCCATTCATGAAGTAAAATAAGACCTATAATGCTAAAAAAAAAAAAAAAGACCTATAATGCTGCCAGATTTCTTTTTACAGTTTCAGATTTTGTCTTAGTTAAATGACCATTCTTAGTGATTTATGCTCCTCGTGATCACTTTCTTATCTAAATATTCATAAGGCACCCATTCAATGAAACAGCAAAGCAGAAACCTGTTGCTCTGACTTGCTCGGTCTTTACTCTCTTTTCTGATAGGCTCACCCTCATTTTCAGGGAGCTCCCCTCCCGGTTCTCAAACATAATTTGGGTGAGATGGTTCCAGGAAGGATCCTTTGGAACATAGGCTTAGCCAGTCACATACTCCAGTCCACAATAATTGCTTTGGGCCTGGACATAGGCCCAAAAGCCAGGCCACTCCTAGCCAGAGAGACTTAATTCCATGGCCTTTATTCCATTGGGAAGAAAAGTTCTCTTCTCTACAAGCTGTAAGAAATAAGCTTAGAGACGCTCATAACCATCTTGCCACCGAAAGAACAAGCCAGACTGAGAATGGCTCTAACAGAGGAAAACATAGTTGAAAGATGAAGAAAATAAGAGATAGACTAATTAGGAGACTGGATATAGCTGTGCCCAAATCAGTCAGAGTCTCAGTTATGAGAGCAAATGAATTCCTGTCCACTTTTCCTTAAGTTGATTTGAGGTAGATCTCCATTACTTAAAACCAAAACCAACCAACCAAACAAAAACCTTAATTTATACATCCAGACTTCTACTATTAATTTAGATAAAACTCCCTTTATGTAGAGTTCAGAGTCTATGTTTCTTCATTTTTTTGAAAAACTGGGCCATGTTCTCTCTCTAAATGCTGACACCTTTTCTGTACTCCATGATTTCTCTGGTAGAGATCAATTTGGGCTAGGGTCTTTTAATTCTGCTACCTGTGTCACTTAATCGGGGTCTTGATTTTCATTTCTATAAAATGGAAGTTAAAAAAGAAGGTCTCTAAAATCCTTTTCTCATCTAAAGTTCAATGATGTTATGATGTTATATATGAAAGCACTACTCAAATCCCTCCACTTTTATAACATCTTTGTAAGACTAACTTGAGATAATGTTCTTTTTGCATTGTTATAATTTGTTCTTTTTGCATCATAATTTGTTCTTTTTGCATTATATTACAAAATAAATTTCTTTACTTGACTTATGGTATTCAGTTTCATTGTTTAAACTGTTGAAACCCACAAAGATAAAAATACTAGTTGGATAGAGAGGAAATGGAAGAATCAACTTTTATAATATAAATTGTTAAGAGGAAAAAAGCAAGCTGTGAAATCGCAATCATAAAATCACATTTATATAAAAGAAATACACACAATATTACACACCTCATATACAATTACTATAAAAATTGTATTCTTTCTCGTATTTTAAGTTCTGAGCCTCTAAGCCCTTCCTTTTCTTTTCTCAGTGTTCGCTAACAGAATAAAAATACACTCTCCTATGGATATTTTTGTGAAAGCACAGAAAAAGGTCTAGAAGGATACAGGCCAAAAAACAGAGGTTGATTTCCTGGACACAGGGGAGGGAAAGACAATAAGAGTGGTGACAAGATGACAGCTTCATATGTAAACTTTTGATTTTTCACTTCTAATGACACTATTTTGTGCATTACTTCCGTAATTCTTTAAAACATAGTCTTTAAAGGAAAGTTTACTATCTTTGTACCTTTCACTTAATGCCACTGACTATTTTTATTTTACCATTTATAGACATGTGTTAAGCCTTAGCTAGCAGCACAGAAGCAGAAGATAAGCAAATACAAATAAAAAAATAAAATGTATGTTTAGTTCTAAATTGTTTCTCAAATAAAGGCTTCTGAAAATTAATGTTCCCAGTGTGGTTACTACTCTTGACAACTCTGATGATACTTACTTTACTATTTGTGAAATGTTCATCATCAACATCTTCATCCAAAGAGACCAGATCACCCTCTACTACTCTTGATCCATAGGTTGCAAGTCTATAAGATACTGCCTCATTCCAAATTTTGCTGCTATATGCATGAACGTAGAATATGCGCATTGAATGGGGAAAAGAAAACCATGCCTGGATACATCCCTCCTCCGTCATGCCAAAGCGGTGCAATGACTCCAACAGTGCTCTCTCGCGAACTTTGAATTCAGGCATCAATGAAAGTGTGCCTTTAGCATCCTCTGAAATAAAGAGAAAATCAGTGAGTCAACCACTTTCATTTACAGGCCAGTTATAAAGACCTTTATTATGCCTTCTAAATGAGAGGCAATGAACTGTGCTCTTATAAACTTGAATATGAAGATGACACTTAGCACCAACTATAAACTTAGCTACACCTGAAGAGTTTGTTTGTTTAGTAAAGATCATTAATCATATGGTCCATTCTCCATTCACTTTCCCTGCTTTATTTATTTTTATTTATTTTTAAGATTTTGTTTACTTATTTGACAGAGAGAGAAAGAGAGCACAAGCAGGGGGAGCAGTAGAAGGAGAGGGAGAAGCAGGCTCCCCGCTGAGCAAGGAGCCCGATGCAGGACTTGATCCCAGTACCCTGGGATCATGACCTGAGCCAAAGGTAGCCACTTATCCAGCTGAGCCACCCAAGTGCCCCCCACTTTCCCTGCTTAAAAAAAAAAAAAAAATAGCAAAAAGCACATTAGTAATACCTACTTCAGAATGGAGATAAACTAATTTGCAAATATTCAGAGGATTTCTTAAAAAAAAAAACACTAAATAAACCTCTGAGCCTACATATTTTTAAAGAGCTATTACAAACATTTACACAGAATCTTTTGAGTAAGAAAGGGTTGGATCCATCAAGCGCTAATAGGCCTTGCTAATGGGATGCTTTTTTAAAATTAAATTAACGAACTCTACTGCAAAGATGCTTATTCAGGTAGGAATCCTCATTTTAATAAATGTACCAGGTGTTTCTTATGCACACTCAAGTTTAGGAATCACTGCCACAAGGAAATTATATTCTTGGAACTCTAGATACAAACACATATAGTGTCAAGGTATTTTTTCTATAAAACCCATGTGGATTGACTCTAGAACCCACACTCATAACCACTTTTCTTTGGTGCTTCCCAGGAAGCATTCTGCATATAAACCATGATATTGACTAAAGTGTCAAAACTGACTGGCCTGAATGGGCAACTAAACCAAAAATAATGCACAAAGTATTGGATATAGCAAATAAACTTTTATATAATTTGTTTTTAAGTCTCCCCTAGTTGTAGTGTTATACTTCCATTGTTACCAGCGTAGAATTTGAAATTCTTATCTACTCTGAGAATTTAGACCAAGAAAAACTAAGAAGCTATTTCTCCCCTCACTCCTATCACCAAGAAGAGTTAAAACAGACAAAAGTCCTGGATATCTGGCCAAAACTGAGTGTCTTAGACATGTAATAAAATTATTAAATGTATAATATATTACAAGCTATTTCTTATCACATTTATGTAGCAATAAATGGCCTCCTGCTAAAATAACATCTGTATTATGTATTTGCATGACTATGTATAGGGTAAAGAAATTTTTAAATACCAGTTTGAAGAAAATATTTCTTTGCTCTATTTACAGGATCATCCAAATCTTCTGGTGTAAGAAATAATTTTACAGCCTCCACCTTTAAAAATCAAGCAAGCAAACATATGTTAAATGAAAATGACAAATTACTTACTTTTTTATATGTAATGGAATATTATGCAGCCATCAAAAGGAATGAAATCTTGCCGTTTGCAACGATGTGGATAGAACTGAAGGTATTATGCTGAGCGAAATAAGTCAATCAGAGAAAGACATGTATCATATGACCTCACTGATATGAGGAATTCTTAATCTCAGGAAACAAACTGAGGGTTGCTGGAGTGGTGGGGGGGTGGGAGGGATGGGGTGGCTGGGTGATAGACATTGGGGAGGGTATGTGCTATGGTGAGCACTGTGAATTGTGTTAGACTATTGAATCATAGACCTGTACCTCTGAAACAAATAATACATTATGTTAAAAAAAAAAAAAGAAGATAGGAGGAAGGGAAAAATGAAGGAGGGGAAATCGGAGGGGGAGATGAACCATGAGAGACTACGGATTCTGAGAAACAAATTGAGGGTTCTAGAGGGAGGGGGGTGGAGGGATGGGTTAGCCTGGTGATGGGTATTAAAGAGGGCATGTACTGAATGGAGTACTGGGTGTTATACGCAAACAATGAATCGTGGAACACTACATCAAAAACTAATGATGTAATGTATGGTGATTAACATAACATAATAAAAAAAAAAAGCTGTCCAAAAAAAAAAAAAAGAAGTGATCAGTAGTAACCAGTTATATTTTACTGTATTTAGTGTCAAGGTATTTTTTCTATAAATCCACACACATGTATACATTATTAAAAGACTCTTTTTTGTTTATATTGTTTGGGGTCTGCTTGTGTTATTAATATGATCCGAACATTTTCCAATAAGACTAACCATTCTTCTACAATATCGTTTTTAATGGCTGCTGTACAATCCCAATACAGAGACACCCATCAATTACTGAAACCATTATCTATTGATAGTTATCAGAATTTTGCTATTAGATACAATGCTGAAGGGAGTATCTTGATGTATAAAATCTTTGTGTACATGCAGAAATATTTCCTAAAAATAAATTCCTGGAATAAAACTGGAAAAAAAAAAGATACAAATACAAATTCTCCGGCATCATAAAAAAATAGGCACTTAAAAAATGATATTTGACACTGCAATTTTATCTTCAAGCTTTCAAAAATTAAAGTGTTATACTTCGAAATAGATCTGTACAAAGCAACCTCATACATAGGTTTAAAATATTATGGACTGGAAAAAGTGCCCATGATTTCCATAGTTCTACTTCTGTCATTCTTTACCTGTATCATCCACCTTAGAATGCAAGTGTGAAGTAATGACATAAAATTCAGACTTGACCAACATATATAACAAAAGCAAGCATAGGGGAATCATGAACCACTAATTTCATTCCTGTTCTCAAGTCTTGGAATTGTCTGGTCTTTCAAATAATTGCCAAAATCTTTTTCTTTTAATTGCCAATTGGGGCACCTAGGTGGCTCAGTCAGTTAAGCGTCTGCCTTCAGCTCAGGTCATGATCTCAGGGTTATGGGATGGAGCCCCGCGTTGGGCTTTCTGCTCAGTGGGGACTCCGCTTCTCTCTCTGTGCTCTCCCTCTCTTTCTCTCAAATAAATAAATAAAATCTTAAAAAAAAAAAAAAAGAGTCATGGTTGTTGGAATTTTCATTCGGCACCTGGGTGGCTCAGTCGGTTAAGTGCCTGCCTTCGGCTTAGGTCATAATCTTGGGGTCCTGTTATCATATGACCTCACTGATATGAGGAATTCTTAATCTCAGGAAACAAACTGAGGGTTGCTGGAGTGGGGATGGGGTGGCTGGGTGATAGATATTGGGGAGGGTATGTGCTATGGTGAGCGCTGTGAATTGTACAAGACTGTTGTATCACAGATCTGTACCTCTGAAACAAATAATGCAATATATGTTAAGAAAAAAAAAAAAGAAGATAGCAGGAGGGGAAGAATGAAGGGGGAAATCGGAGGGGGCGACGAACCATGAGAGACGATGGACTCTGAAAAACAAACTGAGGGTTCTAAAGGGGAGGGGGTGGGAGGATGGGTTAACCTGGTGATGGGTATTAAAGAGGGCATGTTCTGCATGGAGCACTGGGTGCTATGCACAAACAATGAATCATGGAACACTACATCAAAAACTAATGATGTTATGTATGGTGATTAACATAACAATAAAAAATAAAAAAAAAAATCTTGGGGTCCTGGGATCAAGCCCCACATCAGGCTCTCTGCTCAGCAGGGAGTCTGCTTCTCTCTCTCCCTCTGCCCCTCTGCCCTGCTCATGCTCTCTCTCTCTCTCAAATAAAAAAAAAATTGCCAACTTTAATATTTTCTTTTAAAAACTAAATAGATTAAAAGATATTCTTTTAATGGTATCTATGAGGTCCTGTATTCTTCTTCTTCTTCTTCTTCTTATTATTATTATATTGTCTCCAGCACTGTGATTTCTAAGTATATGTTTTAGAGTAGGAAACGATCTTAAGATAGATCACTCAACCTAAAATCACACTCAATCTTATTTTTATAGTATTCATTCATTCATTCAAACAAATATATGTTCAGAAGCTAATTCATTCAAATAAATATTACTAAGTATCTGCTATGTGCTAGGCACTGTGCACAGTACTAGGGATAGAGTGTTGAGCAAGAGAGACATGATGTTTGTTTACTGGTAAAGATCAAATAAACAATAACAATAAAATATAACAAAACCCAAGGTGGGAAGTCCAAGAGGCTTTGAGGTAACAAGAAGAATTCAATTTTTCTTGGGAGTGGGATAAGAATTTAAATTGAAATGTAGAGAATGTAAAGGTTGGGGAAGGGATGCTTCAAAGGAAAGAAAATATGGCTTTCTAGCTGTGGGGCCAGCCTCTAAGTTGGCCCCCAATGATCTCCACTGGCTGGTACGCCTACTGCAGTCCTCCCCAACACTTATCAGGGTGGGTCTGTGCGCCCAGTAAATAGAATAGAGCAGAAGTAAAGATGTCACTTCCCAGATTACATTATAAAAGACACTGAGATTTATGTTACAGTCTCTCTCTCACTCTTCTGTGCTCTTGGACTCTTCTCTCTTGGGGAAGTCACGTCATGAGTAGTCCTATGGTGAGAAACTAAAGCTTCCTGCCAACAACCAGGGAGTGGGCAGGTCCTCTGGGCCCATTCAGGTCTCCAAAGACTGCAGTCCTGGCTGATAGTGTGACTGCACACCATGTGAGACCCTGATGCACCAACACCCACCAAGGCTGTTCCCAGATGCCTGACCCTCAGGAGCAGTGAGACAAGAAATGCTTGTTGTTCTAGGCCACTCAGTTTTGGAGTAGTCTGTTACACAGCAACAATTGATAATTAATGCTCCAGCAAACTTTAAAAAAAATGAGAAGCATGGAATATGAAGTTTAAAAGAGGGGAGAGCTTTTGTTTAAATGTTAGGAGAAACAGGAATTTTATATAATTTGATGTCATATTTCTGGAATTATAGGGTGTTAAGTTTCCTGTAAATCCTATTCAGTTCATTAAGAATTTGGTGAGTGCTGGCCAATTCTCTGTTAGGTCTCAAACAAGTATTAAACACAGGGACATCACATACAGTTTGCTTTACTATAATATGATACTAAAAATATAGTAGCTGCTCAATAAGTCTTCAATAATGTAGTATATGGTATATGTATGTGTGTGTATATATATGCATTTATATGCTGGGTTAAGAAAGCAAAGGGCTAGCTTATGTAGTAAGTACAACTGACAAAACAAATCAGATCATAGTTTTTTTAAATCCATACCATTTCACTCTTCAGCAAAGCCAATCCAATCTGGTCGGTGTGAACTTTCCTTCCCATCCCAAATCTCTGCGGTCCGTAGTAATTTACAAACCCTTTATTCTATGAATACAAGAAAATCAATTAATTAGAAGTATATTGTGAGGCACCTGGGTGGCTCAGTCGGTTAAGCGTCTGCCTTTGGCTCAGGTCATGATCCCGGGGTCCTGGGATCGAGCCCCACATTGGGCTCCCTCCTCAGCGGGGGGCCTGCTTCACCCTCTCTCACTACCCCCTGCTTGTGTTCCCTCTCTTGCTGTGTCTCTGTCAAATAAATAAATAAAATATTAAAAAAAAAAAGAATATACAATCAAAGAGTGTCTATATACAGACAAATGTGAACTTAGAAAATCTTTAGTTGGAAGTCATTTTCCTGACTATAAGGCATAATAGTGATTAAAAACCAGTTTCGCTTGTTTATTTTCCTTTGGAGAGGAATAAAATTGTGTAAAAAGGTCTTTGTGGTGAGAATCTTAGATCACTGTTTCTCAGTGTTAGCTGTAGAGTAAAATCACTTAGGGAGTTTTTAAAAAAATAGTAATAACCAAAGCTGCATTCCCAAATGTTCTTATTTAATTGGTTCGGGGGTAGGGATTGACTACTGAGATTGCCTAGAAGCATCCCAGGTTGAGGATTACTGGTCTAGATCAGGGGTTGTCAAACTACTAATGGCCCACAAGTCAAATGTGGCTAACACTTATTTTTGTAAATAAAGTTTTACTGGAACACAACCATGCTCATTCATTTATGTATGGTCTATCGCTGCTTCCACACAAGGGCAGTAGAGTGGCTGCAACAGAAACCATATGCCTAAAAAGCCAAAAATATTACTATCTGGCTCTTTACAGAAAAAGCTTGCTAACCCACAGTCTAGATGATCAGACTGAAAGCTATGGCATATTTAGATCCCTGGAAAATGTCACATATATTTATGTTAAATAGTATTTATTGTAAGACAGAATAAAATGTGTATGATTTACCATTTGTATACGTTGAAAAAAATTCACAATTAGATTGAAAAGAAAAAAAAGATTGTGCATAATTCTGATAAGTAATGTAACTATTTACCAAAGATTTCTGGAAAAAATTACTGAACAAAATTTCTAAAATTAATCCCTTTGCCTAAAATACTATTCTATTTGGCATGTGCTAAAAAAACAAACATACAAACAACAACAAAAAACACCTCTCTTCTTATGCAGATAGCTCCCCCCGCCCACTCCGGGTAACTCTATATATTTTTTAAATTACATTAAAGTTTTGTTTTTTTAATACAAAAAAATGTACTAAGAAAATTAAAAATAAGCCAAATTGTCCTAATTACCATTATTTAAAATAATGACATATGCACATAAAAAGAAAAGGTACAAAAGAAAAAGAAGTTTCCCTTCTTGCCTCAGCATAAAGAGAAGGCCTATTAAGGTTTTCCTGTAACACTATTTTAAAATTTTCTTACCTTGGGCGCCTGGGTGGCTCAGTTGGTTAAGTGACTGCCTTCAGCTCAGGTCATGGTCCTGGAGTCCCAGGATCGAGTCCCGCATTGGGCTCTCTGCTCAGCGGGGAGTCTGTTTCTCCCTCTGACCCTCCCCCCTCTCATGTGCTCTCTCTCTCTCAAGTAAATAAATAAAATCTTTAAAAAAATAAAATAAAATAAAATAAAATTTTCTTACCTTAACATTTTCTATTGCCTCCAAAATTCTCTCTCTCAGGTTTGAAGAATCATTTATTTGGTTTCTTAAATTTCTGATGGTAATATCAAAGTGATTTCCCTTGAGCTGACCGAGTCTAAGGGAATCATCTACATATCGAATATTAAACACATTCATTCTTTTCTTTTCGATTTCTTTTTCAATATTTTTCAACCTATAAATGATAAATCATATAGACTCATTAAATCTTACATTTAAAAATTAATATAAGGTTTAAATGACAGTTGCTAGACAACCACTTATATGAGAACACTAAAAATTTTTTTGGAATTCAAAAGGTAATGCTATTTCAACAAATGTGCACTAAAAAACCCATTACTATAGGATTATATTAACAGAGTTATTTTATGATCTGAAATAATTCAATCATTTAAAATCTGCCACCTCTCAAAGTTTGTCTTAAAACTACCTACATTTTCAGTGTAAATTTAAGACATAACACTATTTAGAAGATAATCATATTATTAAGGCAGGACGTGCTGCTCAATAAGCCTTTAATCAATTAATTACTATTGAGAGGGAGGTTAATATGCTCCTAGTGTTCTGAGTTTTTAATCTCACATTTATTTATTTTATTTATTTAATGCAATAAGAAAGTAAAGTTCTATCTTATAAAGTAATGTCATACTACCTCTCTGGAGTCACTTTTCTAACAACCATTGCTTGATAGGTGATGGCTTTCTTGTCTTTTAGGCCTGCATAACTAAAATCTGAAGGAATCACACCAAGTTTGATAGCTAAAAAACCAAGTGCTTCAAACATTTCCAGATTTTCTTTTCGTAGGGTAAAAGCTGAAACAAACAAAAATCCCAGATTACATATACACACACACACACACAGCTATGATACATCAACTACATTCTTAGTAGAGTAACAGATTAATATAATGAATCAAATTTTTAATATAAGTATTTTTTAACAAGATATAATCAGTGTCTTAGATTTCAGCAGTCATTTGAAAAATGCTAATTGGCTCAGGAAAGGCTTATACAAAAAACATCTAAATCCCTTACTTTGGCATTTATATCTGACCCCAGTCTCTCTTTTCAGTCTCCGCACGTATATCCTGTATGACACAGAGAATGGCTCAGAATCCGTGGATGGACTAGAGCCTTCCACAGCTTTGTAGTTTCTCACATTTGAATCCCTCTGTTTAAAATGTGTTCTTCCATTTTACTTGCCATACTTGTATTTATTCTTCATGATCCAACAGCAGCAGCAGTTCTCCCTTAAGTTCTTCCCAGGTTCCCAAGACTGAATGCTCCTAAAGCAGGGATCATGTTTGTTTTCTCAACTGTTATACCCACAGCCTAACACACACTAACTATTCAAATAATTGCTGAATGAATAAATAAACTCCACAAGGTGCTGATTACACAAAATTGCATTTCTCCACAAGTTGTCATTATCAATATCATGATACTTGCCACTATGCATTATAATTTCTCTCTTTACGTTTGCCCACCCCATAAACTGGGAGTTCCAGGCCAGTGAACCAATAGATAAAACGGCACTTGCTTTGTGGTAGGTGCTTAAAATGTCTACTAGATGACAGGGTGGGAGTGAGATTGGAAATGTAGGGAGAAGGAACAAGCCCAGTACCAACTACCACCAAAGAAGTTCTCAATATGCTGGCCTATAAACCAGCCAGCACTGATAATAACAAAATACCACAACCCACAGTTCACAATGTTTACATATAAGATACATCAAACTACTGCCCTTTTCCCTCTAATCATGAAAAGGAAATTCAGGGTTTTTTGTAGAATAATTTATATTTTGTTCAACTGCTGTAATTGTCATCCGCAGCTACAAGGGTCTCCCCGAATAGTGAATCCTCTACGAAAAATGAACATTAAACATAAACATTGATTCAGGAAGTAGAAGGATGTGAAATGTATATATGTATCTATCTATCCATCTATGAATATATAAAATAGCTAAACAAGTGCTTATAATAACCACATTTTAGAATATCAAAAGTTGTTTAAAAGAATGGGGAAGATCTATATATTTCTATCTTCATATGAATAACCTCTAGAAACATGAAAACAGCAGGTTTCAAAAATATACACAGTGCATATAATTTATGTGTAAAGTGTTAAAATCTCTAATTCAATGTTGTATATTTTCAATGTTTGAATTTTTACAAGAAAAATATTTTTTAATTGCTATGATTAAGAATTGTTAAAGTATAAACAAACAGCTATAATGTCTGAAGAATATTCAAGCACTATCCATTTACTTTCTAGATTTATTTTTACCACTAAGGCCATTACTTTTTGTACTATCATACAGCTCCCCAGATTTCCCCAAATTTTCTATTACAATTAGTAACAATGCCTGTTACTAATTTTTAGTTGAAAAATATGGTTATTTTTCATTAAAATTGTTTTCATGTTAATAGTAATAGGTTACTTTAAACAAATTCGTATTTTTATATTTTCTGGGGTTTTTTAATTGAAGTATAGCTGACACACAATATTACCTTAGTTTCATATATACAACATGGTGGTTCAACAATTTCTCTGTTTTAATAGGTTAGATATCAATAGGTAATAACCACACAAATAAAAGTTGTTTGGAGTCTACAATAACTTATAAGAGCTATACTCTTCAGGTATCCTAGAACCAAAACTTTTGAGAGTCCATTAAGAATAATGTGAAAAAATATAGGTAGTCCCTCAGATATACCAAATCTGTGGAACTAGACAGAAGTCACTAAGATATCTTAAGAGTAAAAGAAATGCAAAATTTGGTCAACTGTTGCAGTGGGCTGGCTAGGTGTTACAAACTTTTCAAAGTAGACCAGGAAACTGTTCTACATAGAAGAAGGCCAAGAAACCAATCCATAAAAGTTTTAAAGTTTATGTGTTTGATAAGTGGAGTTTGATATGTCAAATCTGCCCCTGACAATCTGGGCATGTCACTCACTAGTTTTTTTTTTTTTTTAAGATTTTATTTATTTATTTGACAGAGAGAGAGACACAGCGAGAGAGGGAACACAAGCAGGGGGAGCAGGAGAGGGAGAAGCAGGCTTCCCACGGAGCAGGGAGCCCGACATGGGGCTTGATCCCAGGACCCTAGGATCACGACCTGAGCCGAAGGCAGACGCTTAACGACTGAGCCACCCAGGCGCCCCGCTATTCACTAGTTGTTAAGCAAGCTCAGGCATGTAGGAAGGAACCTCCAGATTGTCTGAAATTGTATCATTTGTTGCTGGTTAGCCTTAGTGCATAAGCATTTTTTTCATTTGCGATGATTTAGAACTTAGAATTCGAGTATTTAGGAGAATCAAATCCATGATTTCAGTATTTGTGTTAATGAATCTGTATCTTATATACTTGGAATGTTTAAGAGAATGAGACTTACCTAATTCTAATTATAAATGTCTAACTGATTTAAATTTGTCTTTTTACATTGAAATCTCACTAAATTAGTAAATAATATGGGAACACACAGGAAAACTTAAGGCCACCAAATTTATACTTTTAATTTATAAGATTTATAACATTTTCTTGATTACTTGGAAAAAGTGAAGTGCTTAAAAAGAAAATCAAATATGCTAAATTTTAAAATTCAATTTCCACTTCTAGCCATGTTGGAATGATTGGTACTAGATATGACCTCCCATGATAAACAGATAGAAAGCTAGACAAAACATAGGAAATACCTGTTTTTAGACACTGGAGAAACAGGCAGCACAGAACTGTGATTCAAAAAGAAAAGGAAAACAAAAGAAGTGAGCCTAAAATACTGTGGGGTTTTTTTGCCTAGAGATAGATACTTTCTAGACCATAGCACAGGGAGGAGGAATCCAGGTAGAAGACAGCAGTTATGCTGAATTAAAAGGGTTAGAGGTTAGAGTTCAGGAAGGCTGAGTAGGCTGGAACTCACAAGGCAGAGTTCTAGATAATAGGAAGCTATGTAGGGCGCCTGGGTGGCTCAGTTCGTTAAGCAACTGCCTTCAGCTCAGGTCATGATCCTGGAGTCCCTGGATCGAGTACCGCATCGGGCTCCCTGCTCGGCAGGGAGTCTGCTTCTCCCTCTGACCCTCCCCCCCCTCATGTGCTTTCTTTCTCTCTCATTCTCTCTCTCTCAAATAAATAAATAAAAATCTTTGGAAAAAAAAATAGGAAGCTATGTATGCACAGATATCCAGAAATCTACATAGGTGATCTCTTGAGGTATTTGCTTATTAGTGATCTGCACATGCCTAGGATTAATTACTATGTACTACTTATATAATATTGCGTAACAAGACACCCCAAACCTTAGTGGCTTACAATGTTCGCTTATCTCTCATAGTGCCTGTGGGTCAGGAATTCAAGAGCACCTTGGTTTTGTGGTTTGAGTTCAGGCTCTCCCGTGAGGTTGCAGTTAGATGTGGCTGGGGCTATAGTTATTAAAAAGCCTGACAGGAGCTGGAGGATCTATTTCCAAGGGGACTCACTCCCATGGCTGACAAAATGGTGCTGGTTACTGGCTAGAGGCCTCAATTCTCCAGTGTGATGCCTGGATACCCTCACAGTGAGCAATCCAAGAAACATAGGCAAAAAGTAGAGCACTTTTTATGACCTAGCCTTAGAACTCATACACCATCACTTCTGCCACATTTTACTGGCCACAAAAGGCATTTGTGTGAACACCAGGAGAAAAGCACTGAGAATCTTCTTGGGGTTGAGAACAAGCATCCATCTTCTGGCTCTAAGACTATTAGTCCCACCACATACACCCCAAATTCAAAATACACTCATTCCTTCTTGAGGCCCCCAAAACTCAAACCATAAAAACAGCTCAAATTCTAACATTTTTCATCTAAATCAGGTCTAGATATAGATAAGGCTGCTTGAGTACATATCAAATTAGAATCCTCAAATACAATTTCTCTTAATATGAAGGCTATGAAGGACTGCAACACGAAGAGACAAATCTGCTTTTCACACACCTTACAATGTTCAAACACACATAGGACAAGTGCTATACACTCTTTATTTAAACTGGGAGAAAACTGGGGGAGAGATCTAATTAAATATCAAGGCCATGCAGTAGAAACAACAGAAGGATCATTCTATAATAGTAGAACTATATGACATCTCTAGAGTAAAGCCTACTTTGGCCCTCCCTTAATAAAATTCAAAATGAAGCCTCAAATAGATCTACAAATTACTTCCTTCCTGTTAAAACAAAGTTCAACACTCTTTAAAAGGAGACAATATAATCCAGACCCTCAACAAGGTAACATTCACAAAGTTTGACCTCCAAAAAATATTACTAAACATGCAAAGAAGAAGGAAAATATGACCCATAACCCAAATAAAAGTCATTCACTAGAAACACATCTGGAAATGAGTGATAGAATTAGCAGACAAACATTTCTTAAATACCTATTAAAAATAGGCTCAAAGATTATAGGGAAAAACTGAATATAAGTTGAAGACCTAAAAAAGAACTAAATGAAACTTCTAGAGCTGGAAAATGGAATTCTTAAAATAAAAATCTCATTGGATGTTTAAATCTTTCATATAATTTCTACTGCTAAAAAGTATTCTAGGAAAATGGTTATGGTGCTGTCTCAAAAAATTAAATATATGTTATCATATGACCCAGCAATTTCACTTCTGGGTATATACCCACAGAACTGAAAACAGGGAGCTGAACCGGTATTTTTACAGCCATGTTCATGGCAGCATTATTCACAACAGCCAAAAGTTAGAAACAACCCATGTCCATTGGTAGATGAGTGAATAAAAAAAAGAGGTATATATACATACAATATTATCCAGCCTTT